CTGGGCTGTTGACAGAACCTGGCTCTATCACCACCCTGGTTGTGGGAGCCCCAATACTGTAGGACTGCACCCTGGTTTCCTGCCTGGTCTGCGCTGTGCTCGCCCTTAGCTCCTGGCTCATCTTTCCTCATGGAGCAGTCTTGTGTTTGCTGCTCCCTGACAGCTTGTAACAGAGATCATGTGTCCTGCTATAACATCAGAGCAGAGCATGTGGTTGCTGAGGAGTAATAGAGGCCAGTTTACTGGGATTGGAATAAGTCCATGTCATACCTGAAAGTTCCTGTTGATCCAGAAACTGTTGGATGGAGTATATTTCCCCTCCATGGCTGTTCTGGAAGAAGTGGATCAGAGCTTTCTGCAGACTGAAAATGTCAGGCAGGTGTTGGACATGCTGGATGTTTTGGAGCTGGAAGGGAAAATTCAGCATGACTTTGCAATCCACAAACTTATCTGAGGAACCAGGATTCTGTCTGGCATTGTGTGGTATTCAGGAGAAGGGCACTGTGCTTGGAAACACAGGGAAGTGAGTCAACTTAGTGCCCCACTGACTACAACAATGGGAGTCCACGTGGTGCCTGTCTCTGCATTGAAGAAGGAGGAATATTTCTACAGCAAACCTTAGACATGAGCTCCAGAAGAACAGGGTAGCTGTTTCCTTCACCTTCTCTGTATTCTTGCTGAAGGAGATGAATCAGGGTCTGGATGGATGTCTTCTGTTCAAATCTCCACATGTAGGATAGGCCAATAAGTCCAAGGTGTGGCTGGTCTTTGAAAGGAGTCATCTGGCCATAAGCTATTTGTAGGAGCAGGTTGGAGCCCTGAGGACTTCTCAACCTATGCTGCTTGACACAAGTAAGGTTCTGGTCCAGGGCCTATGGAATTTGAAGAGTTGTTAGGAGCTGCCTTTTGTTACAAAAGGGTTTGGGAGGACTTTCAAGTCTTCTCATGAGAGAAGACAATGGTGGCTCTGAAGAAAGGTAGGAGACAGTAAAAACTTCCTGTTGAAGAACAAAGCTGGAAGAAGAACAAAATTGCCCAAGAAGAAACCAATAGAGAATTTTCTTGCCCTTCAATGCATAGAGCCATTTTTTTTTTTTTGTAAAGGAGATTTTCATCAGCATATAAAAAGCATCCTAAAAAAGAGGTGGTAAACCTGTCTATTGCATGTGCAAATGTCCCAGCTCATTGGATGTATCTGGGTATACACCAGAGCCCATGTGGGCTCTGCACTTGATCCTTAGCAAAGTGATAGTTTGTATATAGGATACTTTGAAACAGAGGGACCAGTCCCTCATGTACCTGGAAGAATGGCTGAGTCAGAGTTTTAAAACAGGCTTCCCACTGCCTTCGGTCTTCTTGCCTGAGCAAAATATCCAAGGTCACGTTTTGTCCTGTAAGAAATGCAAAGCAAAATGAGGTCCTCACCCAGTAGACGCTGGAGTCTGTGTAGAACAGCTGCAGTCATGGGATGAGAGCCACCAGTTCCAGTGGCCTTGTGAAAATCAACCTGATGTAAGCCTGCTGGTACCCTCCCAATGCTTGGAATGTACCTTTACCTGTGGTACTGTTGCTAAAGTGCTGGAGAAACAGATGGACAGTCACTGTGGCATCCTCCGTGTTTCTGCTAAGTGCCTTTGCCAGGCATTCAATATCTTTTTCAAGGTGGTCCCAGAAGAATTTTGCCACATTGTTTGGCTTCTCTGTCATCAGACTCAGAATCGCCTGGAAGACAGCTTGGTTTCTTAATTTAGTTCTCAAGAAAGCTTCCTCCCGCAGTGGGGCAGAAGCTATTCACCACATGGAAGCTGCAGGCTAAGTGGGGTAGACAGATAGACAGGAGGCAAGGGAGAGAAAAGAAGCAGCAGCTGTCTCACCTGTTTATCTGTATAGAACCCCAGCAGCATGGATGAATGCAGCAGAGCTCTTGCTAGACAGACAGAGGCAGGTGACAGGTCCCTCTCCAATTCAATTCTCCGTATTGAAGGACTCCCAAGGATGTATCCTTTTCCTGTTTTATCCTCTGAGCTGTGATAGGAAAATGTAATTCAGTTTACACTCCCAATGACTGGGCTCCTCTCATGTAAGTTAACATTGACAGAGGTGTGGCCATCACTGGGTCAGAATAAATGTGAACCTGGGATGAGATAAGACTTTCGGAACAGAAGAACTGCTGCTGAAGAAATGCCCTTTCCAGCACTTTCTTTCCTCTCTGTTCCTCCCAGTAGGTATTTCTAAAATTTCCTGCTATGATTGGACCCTGGCTCACAAAGACCTTGCTTTTCCCAGCTACAGTGGTTCCTCTGTGCCCAGAGAATGGAAAGAGGGTCAAATGGCCACAGCCCTGTTCATCTGTCTTGGGCTGTAGGACAAGGAGCATCAACTTACATTTTCACCTTCATGAAACCTCTCTCAGGTTCATGCTTAGTTCCTCCAACTTTGGCACCACATAGGCATTGTTTGACTTCCCAGGGACGCCCACACTGTAGGTAAAGAAATGACAGCAGCATAAGACTTCGGGCAGAAAACCTAACAGCAGACAGAAGACCCTCATCATGAGAAAAACCAAAAGAAAATACACTTACGTCGGTGATAATCCAGTATGATCCACATTGACAAACTGTGTATGAAAGGGAATTAGATTAATCAGTCAATTATCTCCCAATTACAAAATCCTCCATGATGTAAACACAGCCAGAAATTCACTGGGAGGGCACCAACCCAGGCTCTTCTCAAGTAAGACCTTCTTCCTATCTACTGGGATTTACTGGGATCTGGTCTCACAACATGGTCCTCACAGAGTTTGCCATAAATGGATGATACTAAGCTGGGAGGAGTGGCTGACACACCAGAAGGCTATGCTGCCATTCAGCGAGACCTGGACAGACTATAGAGCTGCTGGAGAGGAACCTAAAGAGGTTCAACAAGGGCAAGTGTAGGGTCCTGCACTTGGGGAGGAATAACTCCACACATCAGTAGAGGCTGGGGGTTGACCTCCTGGAAAGCAGCTCTGCAGAGAAGGACCTGGGAGCTGTGGTAGACAACAAGTGGCCCATGAGCCAGCAATGTGCCCTTGTGACCTAGAAGGCCAATAGTGTCCTGGGGTACATGAAGAAGAGTATGGCCAGCAGGTCGAGGGAGGTCATCCTCCCCCTCTACTCTGCCCTGATGAGGCCACATCTGGAGTACTGTGTCCAGTTCTGGGCCCCCCAGTTCAAGAGGGACAGGAAACTACTGGAGAGAGTCCAGCAGAAGGCTATGAAGATGATCCGGGGGCTGGAGCATCTCTTTTATGAGGAAAGGCTGAGAGACCTGGGGCTCTTTAGCCCGGGAAGAGAAGAGTGAGACTGATCTTATCAACACTTATAAATACCTAAAGGGTGGGTGTCAAGAGGATGGGGCCAGGCTCTTTTCAGTGGTGCCCAGTGACAGGACAAGAGATAATGGGCACAAACTTGAACATATGAGGTTCCATCTAAACATGAGGAGGAACTTTTTTACTTTGAGGGTGGCAGAGCACTGGAACAGTCTGCCCAGAGAGGTTGTGGAGTCTCCTTCCCTGGAGATATTCAAAACCCACCTGGACACAGTCTTAGGCAACCTGCTCTAGGTGAACCTGCTTTGGCAGAGGGGTTGGACTAGATGATCTCCAGAGGTCCCTTCCAACCCCTAACATTCTGTGATTCTGTGACCTGGACGTGCTGCAGCCAAAAGGAGATTGGTAAAGTACTCAACAGAAGCACAGAGGTAGGTTTAAAGAAAGCCACCCTTCCCTCCATCCACTTGCTTCTCCTTTCCCTTCACCCCCTGGCCAGTCTGTCTCAGGGCACATTTATAGCAAGTTCCCTGTGTCTGCAATCCATATAGGAGCAGCTGGCTGGACTGAGGTAAAATTTCACTACACTTACTCCAAGGTGTATCACGTTCACCGATTTTCCAGTTCTTCTGATCAAAAAGCAGATCTTCAGGCATGGTGGGAAGGTAGGACCCCTTAGGAAGGAAACATGGGTGTAAAGAAGGATTTGAGGAATTATGTAACCATTTTCCTAGTTTCCTTCTTATCTACTGGATAAATAACACTTCTGGAGATAAACACACTAGGTGCAAATGGGTACATGGTACACAAGAAAGCTTGACTGAGACATGGACCGAGGGACATAGCATTATATCAACTGGGAACAGATTAGGGATGGCTGGACTTACAAGAACAGTGATGCCAAGTTAGCATCTTCTTTGGTATCTGCCTACCAAACTGTGGATTCAGAGGGAAGGAGCAGGATCTGGACACTGCCATTGTCTGCACAGCCAAGAGATGGGCAATGTATGTCTCAATTGCTTTCTGCATTCCTCAAATAACAGAAACAATCATTAGATGCAAAGGGGGGCCTAGTGTAGTAGAAAGTTTATCTTTACCTGACAGCTGGCATATTTGTGGTCAGAATGAAGAACTTTGGGCCAGGATTTGAGTCATATAAGCTCAGACAACAACTAGTATTTGGCAGGCCCACAGGCTCCCTGAGACTAACTGGAGAGAGAAGTGCATCTCCAGCAGGCTGTGCCCCATTTTCAATATGGATAGTGATGGACAGTCTCAGTTTGCTCTCAGTGGAGTGTCCGGAAGGGAGTGGAAGAACTAGAGGGCTCCGTATGGTGTCTGTAATAACCCAGAAAGCTGCAAATCTGTCTGTAAGCTGACAGTGCTGGTTGCGTAAATGCAAGTCTCACCCAGACAGCGTTATCATGAAGGGAAGTATCTGTATCCCCACATCTTGACTTACCTTCACCACATGAGGCTTAAAGCAGATATTTCTGAAAAGCTGAGCGAGGGGACTTGGGGATAAGGCCAGAGTAAATGCAGTGTGAACCACCACCTCCATCAAGACCTTGTTTTTGTGTCTGCACAGAGCATCCACGATCTTCTTCATCTTGTTTTCCAGAGGCTCTTCTGGGAGCAATGGTGTTTGGAGGATGTTTTCCATCTGTTTTATGACAGGCTGGCAAAGAAATTGAACAAACTGTATGGAATCTAAGGAGACTCATAAAGCTCCTTTTGATGAGGTGCCCATTGATAGGCTTTGAAAGTGGTATTTTATATAAGTGTGATGATCCTTTTGTCTGCAACTCAGGAGGAAAATCCTGTAGCTTTCTAGAAACATCCTGTAGAAATATTCTGTAGGAGACACAATGGATACTCACCATCAGTCTCTGGACTTCCTGGGGATCTTTGTTTTTTATTTGATTTTCTGCTCTGTCCAGCACCGAAAACATCAATGTTATATTTGACCAGGCACCCATATGCTGTGAAACACAGATGTAAGTTACGTTATCGTAATCAGCATCTCAAGCCCACTGAAGCATTCAGATGGACCCCTCACAAACAAACATGTTATTTTTGTCTTGTGAATATTACAAATGGGTTTTGCATCTTTTACAATTTTTATTTGTATCATGGGGGTAAGCTTGGGATACTGTAGAGATATGGGGTCTGAAATCTGTTCTGCCTGAATTTTACGGTGTAATTGTTTAATTTCTGCGATTTCGCAAATACATGAATTGAATAGGTCCCTCCAGGGGAACAGTGAAATGCTAAGCATGTATGAAGGAGGGAAGAATCATTCTGTAGAGGAGCTTATATCCCTTCCCAGACTTGAAGAAAGTCCCTAAGAAGTTTTTTTTTTCATTACTGAAGTTGGTTTTTTCCTATCCCATCAGCTCTGATAAGGCACACAGACCGGGTTCAAGTTAGTCAGCTATACACTCTCAGAACTGTCTGCAAAGAAAAGACTGGGTGCATCTGTGTGCTTGGGTGGCACAACTTCAATGGCCTGTAGATGGGCTTTTGGAAGACACTCACCTCTGATATTTCAACCCCTGTGGGTAAAATCCATTTTTCTGCCTGAAGGATCTTCTGCATTGGGATGAAACCATAATTGTGGCAGAGATTTTCAATAAGGAATGTTTGAGGCCATGGTGTCTGTGCGTTTTCCACCAGCTTCTTCATTGCATTCACCAGGTCTTGCTCCTCTTGCTTGTTCCCACAAAGAGACGGTATGTTTGGATCTGCAGCTACCAGTGAGATTTCACATTAGGCTCACTCCCATGCAGTCATGTATCATAGATCCTTTTTGCAAACACTCCGCCTGCTTAGATTGAAACATTTTTTCACCAAGAGTAGAAATATGGCCTGTAATCCTACTATCCTGGGCTTCTTAATACCTACAGCATGCAGGGAAATAGAATACTAGGCAGTGAATATAGAGAATGAATGACCCACTGTTTTTCCATCTTTTGTCCTTATAGGATCTAGGTCTGGTAATCTTCTCTAGTGTCTGTCTTAGGTCAGAGAGGAAAGCTCTCAAAGACTGTCTAGAAGGTAGAGAGCAATCTCATGGCTCCATTCTGGGTAGCTGGGAGAAGTGGGAATCCTCTGGCTTATTTTACATCTTGGCCTTATAAACGGTCTCCTGTATCTCTGCTGATTATCAGATACAGGGTGTCCTTGTTGATTCAACAAGTTCAAGTGCTGGGTCCTGCACTTGGGTCACAACAACCCCAGGCAGCGCTACAGGCTTGGGGAGGAGTGGCTGGAAAGCTGCCTGGTGGAAAAGGACCTGGGGGTGCTGGTCGACACCTACCTGAACATGAGCCGGCAGTGTGCCCAAGTGGCCAAGAAGGCCAACAGCATCCTGGCCTGTATCAGCAATAGTGTGGCCAGCAGGAGTAGGGAGGTGATCGTGCCCCTGTACTCGGCACTGGTGAGGCCGCACCTCGAATACTGTGTGCAGTTTTGGGTCCCTCACTACAAGACATTGAGGTGCTGGAGTGTGTCCAGAGAAGGACAACGAAGCTGGTGAAGGGTCTGGAGAACAGGTCTTATGAGGAGTGGCTGAGGGAACTGGAGTTGTTTAGTCTGGAGAAGATGAGGGTGAGGAGAGACCTGATCACTCTCTACAACTACTTGAAAGGAGGTTGTAGTGAGGTGGAGGTTGGTCTGTTCTCCCAAGTAACAAGTGATAGGACAAGAGGAAATGGCCTCAAGTTGTGCCCGGGGAGTTTTAGACTGGACATTAGGGAAAATTTGTTCACCGAAAGGGTTATCGAACACAAGGCTGCCCAGGGAAGTGGTTGAGTCACCATTCCTGGATGTATTTAAAAGGTGTGTAGATGTGGTGCTCAGGGACATGATTTAGTGGTGGACTAAAGATTCTATGATTCTAGGATTATATGGGTCGAGCTAAGATTGTATCAGTCTCTTCACACAAACTTTACTTGGACACTCTTCAAAGCTGAAAAAGGTGTAAGGAAGTGACTCAACAGAGTTTCAAGTGCAATAGATCCACTTCTAAACCAAGAGAATCACACATGTTCAGTGTGAACTCCATTGACCCTGCCTGTCATTATCAACAGCCTAATGGGAGAACAGAGTCCCAGCACATGCACCTGCTTGTAGACATTTAAGTGATTATCTTGATACACTGCTGCACACCACCCCTTAAGTCTGGTGAACTAGTTATTCAGGGGAAATGCCAATATTCAGGGAAGTTTCTTTCAACTCTGGACAAAACCTGGATGTTTCAATACTGAGAAAATAATCCAGAAAAATGAAAATGATTTCAGAAGAATTCAGTAAGTTCTAGGTAATATCTATGTTTTGTGTGCAACATACATTTTGGATGGAACACATTTATATACAAAATTTATGTACTTTAATCCCATTTAGTTTCAATATTGCCAAAAAATAGTCTTATAGTGTCAGAATAAGAGGGTTAACAATTATCTAGATTTAAAAGGAATAAATTAGCCCTTCTGATCCTGAATCCTTTTGAAAATGCATCTATTAAACCCCTTAAATTCAGATAAAACTGGAGTTTTTTCCTTTTTTTTTCTAGGAAGAAACCTCCTGTACCAGTGAATGTTTGGCCTGAAAACCTGCTTAAGAGGAAATACGAATCTCATGCTCTCTGTGGCTAGGAGAAGGACTCACCATAGAGCACCTGTCTGCCAAGCACTGTGGCCACATGGCTGATGGAGAACCGGAGACGGGCTATGAACTGGAGGGTGTCAATTTTTGAGGCCTTGCATGAGCAGAAAGCAGAAAGGTCTGCAGTGGAGAGGAAGCTTTCAGCAAGCTGGTTGACATCATCTTGGGAAGAAGGATACATAAAATCCTGTTCAAGAGAAAGAGAGAGGGAAAGTTGAGTCCAAAGCTGCCATAGGTTCTGGATAGTCCCTTATTTCCTAAGCCTTTTCACTAGGTACGGAGCTCATTTCTGCTGTGATGTTGTACCCTGTGAATCTCAAGTCCCCAGCAATGACCTGCTTTGCAGGTGGACTATTTTTCATCACCTTTGAGGGTAGCCCCAACTCTGCTGCTCTGGCAGGAAAGGACTGCCTCCTTTCTTGATTCACTAGATGGAGAATCATACGTTGAACAGATGTGCTTGTGCATATCTGTAGTACACCAGTTCAAAGCGCAGCAGAGACCAGGGACAGTTCTGCTGAGAGTATCAGCTGGGCTCAGGGGAGGCTCTTGTGGCTTACAAATCAGGCCACAAAATCCGGCCACGAAATCAGGGCACAAAATGCAGCCACGAAATCCAGCTCCGAAATTCAGACTGCACATTAGACCTTATTGACTCAGGCCTAGATTCTTCTAGGCTATGCTTAGGCAAGGGAGGTCATAACCGAGGGAGGTCAGCAGCCAGTTCTAGAGAGCCTCAGGAGCCAGTGAGGGGAAAAGAGAGAGGAAGAGTGTGATCTGCAATGGGCAGGACAGGAAATGATAGTTTGAGTACAGATTCCAGGAACAGCTCGAAGATATTTGCACTTACCTCCAGACAATGCACCACCATGAAGTAGAAATGGTTCCAGTTCCTTTTGTTGGAGGTTATCTTTTCCTCCATCTCAGAAAGGTATTTTTCCAGGTGAACCTTTATGTTATTGAACCTATGACAAAAAAAGACATAGGACGTGAGCATCCATGCAGCCTGTATGGCTCAGTGATCAGGCTAGGAGCTAGCTCATGCTAACCCGTGTCTCAGGAGCAGTTTCAAGAGGGAGGACTTGATTGTTGGACTGGTGTCCATGCATTCTTCAAAGGGTGAGAGCTCACTGTTTGACTTGCACACTAAAAATGAAGAATGACATTCATTATTTTTCTTCAGTACAAGATCAGGTCAGGGTTCCAATGAAGTCAGGTTCTCACCTCTTTTTACTGCCTGGTGTTCAGGGCTGGGTGGCTTGCAGGCCACAAATTTGATCAGTTGAGTGATGACTTCAGGGGGTGGTGTGCCTGTGTCTCCCAAGACAGAGGTGGTCACAAATTCCATGAAGAAAGAGTTACATTTCCTCCTGAATTTGTTGTGGCATGCGACACCTTCCCTGTAGGGAGGAATAAAATCAAGATCTACCACAGTAAGGAATGCAATTAAGACTACAATCAAAACCTAACAAAGCAAAGAAAGAAATTCTCTTTTCTGCTTCTCTGAATGCAACCAGGAGTCCAGGTACACCTAGATGATGAAGAAGAAATACACTTTTTAAATAAAGAGCGGAATTAACCACCAGAAAACCCACTACAGCACTTTTTCTTGAATACTGAGGACAAACTTTCTTCTTCCCTCTACTCTCCCTCTCTTCTATCTCCACTCAAGATAGCTAGAGAGCAGACAAATGGATTCTTGTGTAGTATGTATGCCTGGATAGACTTCCTGTGGAGATGGAGGTAAAAGGGATGGAATTGACCCTAGATCACTTCACGTGAATCCTTTCACCACCAAGTGTTTGCTATACATGGTAAAATACTGACATTTCCATGGAGATTGTATGTTAATAACATTTGTGTAGTCTCTGCTCTGGTAACCGTTCCAGAATTTTATACAAAGTAATAGAGACTGAAACAACACCACTAGTTATTTCACTAGTTACAGGATACCTTGTGGCTACTGTAGCTGTGGGTGTGTAATCCTCTGGGAAGTTATCCTTGCAGATCTTACACTGCTTGCTTCTCCACTCACGGATGCACTGAGAACAGAAAATGTGGCCACAGGGCAGCTCTCCTGGGTCAGTGATCTCCAGTAGACAGCTCTTGCAGTCCTTCACACCCTTTCTGAAAGATGCCAGCAAAGGAAGATGCAACTCAGGGCTGATGTTACACTGGTGCCAGATTTGAGGGTGGGCATGAGATTCTTGTGCCCAATGTTTGCCATAGGCACCAAAACTGGATGGTCATTTTTAACTAGCCTTGCTGGTGAGCAGAGAATAAGGACAACGTCTATCGGTTTAATAAGAGGGTGGCTCTACCAAGGACCAACCCATCTAAGACGTGTGACCTGTCATGCTAAGTGTGGCTGGCTTGGTAAGGGGATGGTCCTCATTCACAGTGTCATTAGGCCTGTGAGTACCTACGTCAATTACACCTCATTCAATTCCAGGGTTGTCTCTGTCACCAGCCAGGCACAACACTGCATGGTAAAGACTTTGCTCCATGGCCTTCTGAGGTTGGGCATTGCATGTCCTAGCATTAGGACTCTCCAGGAGGGATCCTTTGGCTTGAGGAGATTCATCCCCATTGACTAGTGACGATCTTACCCTGCTCCTTCCAAAAAACAGTTTTGATGTGAAACATCCCCAGGACAGGTGTGGGTTTTGGTTTTTTTTTTTTTTGCTTGGACTTACACAAGGTACACAGTGTCAGCATTTTCATTGCATATCTTGAGCACTTTTGTCACCAACTCAAAAGCTTCTGCTGGGTCAAAATTTTGTGTTTCAGTCAGACGCTGTAGGAAAGAAAGAATGGTGAATGCTCAATGGAAATACCTTCTTGGCACATGAAAGAGGAACAATATGGGATGTCAGGACCACAAAATTACATGATAAAACACCAAAATCAAAGAGACCCACCAAGTATTTTTCTCATTTAATGCCACGGATAATTGGCCTGAAATACGTGTTAAGCTTTCAAGAAAACCTTCTTTTAAATAGAATTCTGATTTGGGGGGAACCTTTCATGATGATTCTGAAATCTCAGTGATTTTTTTCACTGGATGGTGTTTCCACCCCCTTTCCACTTTCTTCCCATTTCTATTCCCTCCCTCAAGCTGGGATCAGAGGAGCCCCTGGAAGATAAGGCTCCTTCCAAATTCTGCTGGTCTCCAAGGCTGTGAATTGTCCAGGCAAGCACTATGCTGAGCACATACATTCCAGGTGAAGATGAACTGCCTCACAAGAAGTCTCAGAAGCTTCTCATCTATTTGTGTCTCATTGTGCAGCAGATGGTCAAAGAACATGTAGACAATATTGGTGCAGGTCCACTGGTGTCTGGAAAACACACACACAGAGATGTTGAACAAAGCTTCAAGACTTGCCAGAGAAAGCCACAAGTGACCTACTCTACTGTGGGCAATGGTGCAATTTTAAATGGCAGGCTGGCCTACAGAACTCTGAGGTCCCTTCCAACTAAGATTTCTATGACAGGTCCCAGGTAGTGTGAGATGATTTGAAGACACAAGAACTCCTGAGCTAGCTTTGGTTGACTAGACTAAGCAAGGAGAGAAAAATATGGCATGGTCCTGTCTACCTCTCTTATTGAAGTGTCCACAGACCAAACTGAGTTATTGAATAGTTACCAGGTTTTGTCTATGGAGATATCTACTCTGTTACAGAAAGCATCCTCAGCATGATCAAGCATCCAGTCAGATATTCAGGAAAACAGATCTTATTGTCAAGGAATGACAGGTGTGTGACTGTGATCAAAACATGTAGTTCTTAACACAGCTTTTTGGAGTGATTTTGTCAATGCTTTTGTGATAATCAGACAACAGAATGAGCAAAGGATTAGGAAGGAGACAACAGTTTCAGGGATCAAGGTTCTCAAACTAATTACTACGGCTTCCCAAGGAAAGGATTGATTGAGCTCAGAGTGCAGACACCTAGCTCATGGAAGAGGTGAGATAAGGCCACATATATTTGCCTGAAGTCTTTCAATTCATTGAAACACCAGATTAAGAACTCCAGGGAAAAAGAGTAGGCTATAAGCAATCCTTTTCCACAGACTGTATTTTTAAGCTTCAAGCATTTTAGTTTTCAAGTCTTGGTGAAAGTTGGCAGAATCTTTTGGCAAACACATGCCAAGAATTTGAAGGAAAATATTGTCAGAAAGAGGACGTGTTACTTGAAAGATGAAGTTGAGAAATGTTGGACTTACAGCACACTCTTCAGGAGCTCCCTTTTCTTCTGGTAAAGATGAATCTGGTAATTGTCCATACTGATCCACTTCATCCAGGGTTTAATGGACTTGACCCTTCTAAGCCATTCTGTACAGGCCTTAAATGACAGAAGATTATCTGTGGGCTGCACCTTTTTCAGGAGAATGTTCAAGGCGTCAAGAGTGATAAACTGAAATTATATTTAAAAAGAGAGAAATAAAAATAGCTTTTATAGCTGACCTAGCCCCATTGTACCTTGGAGAAAAAAAAAGATTTGGAGGCTGTGATGGGAAATTCTCTGAAAAACTTAGCTAGGCGCACACAGCAACAAATATAGTAGGAATTTGTCAGGTAAGGAAGTGAGAACAGCACAGAAACCACAATTGTACCATAGTGTAACTCTCTGTTGCACTGGTGTCTTGAATACTGTTTGAATACTTGAACCAGAGCACCGGTTTCCCTCCATATGGAAACTTTCAGCTCTAAGGTTCTAAGATTGTTGCCTTCAGTCCCCTTGACATTCAGGAGGGAAAAATAGTATCTCCAAAGAACAGTTCTTCCATTTCACAGAGAGATGTTTTAAGATTGTTGAATGAATTGTTCTTTGGAAAGAGTTAGATGTTTAGGTGGGATCCAGTTGTCCTATTGTAGGTCTCTACTGTCAGTTGAAATGCCTTTAAATGTCTGAGACATCTATACAGAGCTGGCAGATAGGGCACAGGACCTCCAGGAGACTCATGCCCTATTGCAGCAGGAGCTGGAGGCCAAACAGCATTTGAAATGTCAGTAGATGCCTACTTGTGAACTGAACTGCACCTCTCCCTTCACTTGTGAGTCAGTCTCCACTGTTTTTGTAACCCATGTTTTCACTAGCAGTCACAGGAGATCAGACAACCATTGCAAATGTAGACACATCCTTGTAGACATGTAAGTTACAGTATCTGAATTCAGACTTGGACCTCACCCCAAAAGTTAAATACTATGACCATCAGGTCTTAGACTATAAGGTCTAAGAAGAGATGTCATTACCAGGAGATGTCATTATCAGAATAACACAAGCAAAAGGATGTGTAATATTTTTCTACAGAGTGCACGTTAAATTCTAGAAGTTTCGAAGACAAAAAAGTATATATGGAATTAAAAAACAGTCAGAGGAGGATGAAGGACAGGTCCTTTGGTAGGGAATGAGCTGCATGTGACTAGTAGCTCAGAAACTCCCTAAGACTTACTGGAAGCTGGAAAATACTTCCAGGGAAAGATCACCTGAAGCCTTGACTCTTTTCTTACACACTTTCACTGAGTACTTTCTAGTGGACACTGTTAGAAACAGGTTGTGCCACTTTGCTCTGCAAAACACCATCTGCTCCCTTTTGCTCACCATTTCTGGCAGGTCCTTCTCGTACATTTTTTGCAGCTCGCTTGTCACAGTCTCATCAGTTTTCACCAAGTCAATAAAGAGTTGATACTCCTCTTGTAGGTAAAAATACTCCATATGAAGCCAAATGGGGGAAAAGCTTATCTCCTCCTGCCCCACAGAGGAGCAGAGCTGTTTCGAATTGACTATGAGAGCTTTTGACAGAATCTGCAAGATAAAACAAAAGGTGTTATTTCTGCTCCAAACAGCAGGGGACTGAGGATGGCGTTTGTCATTGCTGAAGCATTCCAGTCAAGCTTCTTCATCAAAAAAATTTTTCTTAAGGTGGAATTAAGACTGAGCACCACTAGTTGCTGGGAAATATGCAGAACATGAGAATCTAACTATTTTCCCCCAGTTCTTGGAACCATAGATATTTGTAGCCCTGTGACTCATTTAGACCTTGTACTCCAGCAAACCCCATTTACCTCATAGACAGAAAGATCTTGCCCAGGGAAAGTCATCCTTAGAAAGTCATTGGTGTAACACTGCATCATCTCTGGATTACTGCCATTTGGCATCAACACATTCTTGATCAGCGCTTGGAACAGTTCGGCTGGTTCCTTCATAGGCACTTTTGGATGACCTAGAGGAAAGGACAAAGATGTCAGGTAACCAGAAAACAGGAGTGCACAACAGATGTTCTAGGTCATTATGTTTGCATGGGGAACAGAATTGCTATGGTTGCTTCTTCCACAACCTCTGGCTGTTGTGAGAAACTTTGGGGATCAACTTTTCTTGAAACAATATCAACAATACCTGCTTGAAAAGTCTGATGTTACCTTTTGTATTATAGACTCTCTCCCATAGTTCCTCCAGGTAGTCCTTCAAAACCCAACTGAACGGGAACTGGCAAAACACAGATGTATTGGGGTCTTCAGTCATTGACGTCATGGAAATCTTAGCATCTTGTTTCCTTAAACAGCACAGAATGAAGCAATCACATAATATGCTTTATGTGTACTGAAATGAATCATCACAGAGAAATTTCTGACTGCCACTGGTATATGTTCTGCTTGAAAGGTTAAAAAGCATAGAAATATTTTGTAAAAAAATCAGCAATAGTGGAAACAAGGCAGGAGCAGAAGAAGTCCACGTCACTGGGAGCTGAAGGCTAAAAAAGACTGCAGCAGGGGAAAGGCAACTGAGTCAGACAACATCTGTCTTTTCTCTGACCACAGGTGTTGTTCAGAGTAAGCTGACTGATCAATTAAAATATGACAGTTAGACACTAAATGCGTTTTGTGCTGGGAAGGGGATTTGTCTGCTCTGACCTTAGGGAACTCAAATTCAAGTTTCTAAATTCTGGACCTATTGTTTCTGACTTTACCCTGTGTTAATTGTTATTCCAAGGAACTAGAGTACCTTGCTAATGTTTGTGAGTTACTGAAGGTTTAAGAGAGCTGGAAGGTTCTGATTCCAATGTCATGACAGAAAGGACTTATCCATAATAAGTCATGAACTGTGTGAGCTTATCTTAACTTCAGACTTGTTGTTTTACTATTTCTTTCTGCAGAGGGTTGCATTATGAAAGCAGGTTTTTATTCTTCTAATGCACATAATGTATTTTTCCACCAAGTCTCTTACCTGCTGGTATATTTAATTCTCAAGAATGATTCTTCTTTGAACATCTGAAGCCACAGTTCTGAGAATGGAGACACTGGATAGAGATGATCCAGGTTGTTGTTCGCATCCACCACTGCGAGAATTTGAGCAAACAAATTGGCCACGATGTCTTCTAAATGCATCCAGAGCGCATGCCTAGAAGTGATAACATGGCCTGTCAGGTGTCTTCCTTGTACCTGATCAATCCTCTATCCATCAGAAGCTCACATCTGCTTCTGTATACCAGATAGCAATATCCCTCCTGGTTGTCATATCTGAGCCCCATTAAGAATTGTGCTTCACACCACAGCTCTTTTAACGGTCTCTGAAACAGGCCTGTTAGAAATTTGGAAAGGGCTGCACACACAAAAGTACCTGAATGAAGTGTCTTCAAGGATGAACTCACTGGAGACAGCTCTGTGGGAAACCCACTCCCTTGGCTCAAGGCTTATTTTCTCACGTTCTTGGAGGAGGAGGCAAATTCTCCTTTTCAGCACAGTCATAAAATTACTAGAAACTAATTATAAAACAATGTTTATTAAAACATCTGAATGAGAGGCGTTTCCATGCAAAGTTTACAGTCAAAGTAAAGCCAGTCATAGAAAGTGACCTCTATGAAAGATCTTGGTTTTCCTTCACAATAAAATCCAGGGGCTTTATGTTCTATGCTACTCTCTTCCCTTTCCTCTTTATTTCTAGTGAGTTGATTTTGGGGCAACATTTAGTAAAGACATGCCATTTTTGATGGAGGAAAGAAAACCCACTTTTCTCTGTCTCAGTCTTTTAAAAATAATTCTGTGGATTAGGTTCTTTGGTGTATAAAGACTCTGATATTCATATTGATATGAAAAAATGTTTGGTATTGTATGTCACAAGAATAGTCACAGTGCTGCAGAAGGCTTGACATCCTGTTCTTTTCTGTATGACATTGGTATCAATACAAAATAAAATTTATGGAATTGTTTTCAAAAGTCAATTTGCATTGTGCTGAGGAATGAAGATGTCACTACGCAGTCACAATAAAACATATTTTCCTGAGGGATATTTTCTTATAGTCAAAATTCAGTACAGAATAAATTTAGGTTTTGCCATATGACCACAAGGACTTTCCAGACCCACCACATCTTTGAAGTGGTAACAGGGTCTCTTTTCTATTTCGGTCACTGACAAACATCTTAAGTACCTGACAGGAACCTATTATTCAAAGAAGAGCAAGTCATGCACCACAGTGACAAAGTCTTTCCATATGCAGGAAAGAATAATTTCCTACATTAGGATTTTGGTGCTTTATTTCTGATTAAACCAGTCCCTTTCCATTTTGCTGAAGCCACAGTTTTCTATCAAGACACCACATCACCTGCACAAATGATATGTATCAGTTCTATGTAGAAATCAGTTTGATGGCTTTGGACTCCAAAATATTCATGGGGGTGTAAAGTGACTTCTGCCTCAGATTTTTCTACCAAGGTCTCCAACAAATGTCATGGGGAAAACTGGATGTTTCAGTACAGACTCTGAGAATATACAACATGGGGTTCATGTAAAGCAGAAGGGGCCCTGAGCAAACAGTCCTCTTTCCTTTGGGACCTCCACCCATGACGGCCTAGACAGGCACCAGGACAGGTCATTAAACTACTCATTTCATTCCCCCTGTTCCATGGTTTACATTGTGCAAGATGCAGCCACGTAAATAAAAAACCCCGACCTACTCTGGGCCTTGTTTTGTACTCACATGTGGTTCTACTATGATCCTGGAAAAGCAAGTTGTGAATGATCGTGATTCTCTCAGTGGCACGCCGACTGTTGTCTGTCTTGTCTTCCAGCTGGATTATGGCTTTCTGGATGCTCTGTTTGATCATAGATTCCATGCTGAGTAGCTGTGAATGGAAAAGATTGGAGGTCAGTATATCGCCTAACACTCCATCGCGTTTGCTCTGTCAGTTCCTACTTAACTTGACACAACGAACACCTAGGTATAGGTCTACTTCACCATTCAATCCCTAGAAATCAATCTCTACATTACAAAGAGTGCTAAGTCCTGGCAAGGGATGGAGAGATGGGGAAAGAGATTTCATGCTTTGTCAAAGGCTTAAATGTGCCTACTCTGGCCTTGTGATTATCTGTCGTAGGGTGGGGACAACTTCACCCTCACTGTGTGTCTCACAAAGACCTGTAACTACTTTTTCCTGTGGCAAATGTACCATCAGAACCAGGTACCAGCATAACTGGATCCCTAAAGTACTATGAAATCTATTATTTCCTAAACCAGTTCCTGAATAATGTCAGGCAGATGAAATAAGAAAAAAGAAATAAAACTTACACTTCCTTCTGTGCTGGACTTGGCTGGATCTTCAAGAGCGGCAGATTCCTCTGGAGAACCTAAAATCACAATCATGCATAAGACTCCTTTGTAAAAAATGTAGAAACCTGAAAAAGAGGTACCTCTATCCAAATGAAGCAACTGGAGTCTCTCAACAATCAACAAAGTGTTGAAAAGCTGTCAATCTCAGAAATGTCAAGCTGGACTTTTTCTCCTCTTGGGAGAATTGTCCAGTAACCAGATCTCAGTTTTAGCTGGCACCCCGTAGGAAATGCGGGTGTGTCAGGATAGGAAGTGGAGTTCCTCCCCAACTGCTCTAGCCTCCCCTTATCCATACATCTTGAAAACAATGGCAGGGATGTACTGAGTTGGCTTTGAACTCACCAGTGGTTTTATTTGGTCTAGGTGGACAGAAAGACTTGCTGGGAATCAGAGTGAATAAATGTGTATCTACTGAATGCCACAGCAGTACAGCCAATGTGCTATTGTAAGTGAAGAACTAGCTTAGGAACCCTGCTACCCTAACAGTCACAGCTTGCAAAGCAGGAGGAAAAAAAAAAAAGTACTGCTGTGAGGGCTTCAGAAACAGCAAATACAGTAAGTCCTGCTGAGACCCAGGGCTATTGCCTCCGCAGACCACTTGATCTAGCTGTACTTAAAGCTGTAGGTGGAGCAAATGGTACACAGAGGAAGGGACAGAGCTGTGCAGGTATTGGGTGAAAAGCAAGTGGCTGGTTACCTGTTGGGAGACACCCATGGAAAGCAGTCATGAAAATCTCAGCAATGGTCATTTTGGCAAGCTGGCCTAGATTGCCTGTAAAGTTGTCTGGGGGCATCAGTTCATCCAAGTGGATTGATATCCATTCACCTGGGGAGGCAGTAAGCATGACAGAAATAGTAGGACTGGACACAACTGCCGTGAACAGTTGACCTGCTCTCCTTGGTGCACCACACCCATCCAGAAAAACAAACTTGGAGACTTGAACCTACCAGAAACCTGGATAACAAGATGTCGAGAGATGGAAGATTTACCACCTCCTGTTTCTTTTTGGTCTGAAGGAGAACATGCTTCTCTTATATCATTCTGTTCCCTCCTCTCCATCTTCACAGTGCTAATGCCCTAACTGTCATTCTCATCCATTAACTAGGGAAGAAAATTGCCCTGTAACCCAAAAGGTTACCTTCAACATAAAGAAGTATTTTCTTATGTTTGAATGCAGTTTCATTTCAGTTTGTGCCCATTGCCTCTTGTCCTGTCACGGGAAACCACTAAAGCATCTGGCTCCCATCTGGCTCCATCTTCTTTACACCCTTGCATCATGCATATATACACAGTGATAAGATTCCACAACCCTTTTCTTCTCTAGGCTGAACTGTCTCAACTCTCTCAGCCTCTCCTTATATGAAAGATGCTGCAGTCCCTTAATCGTCTTTGTGGCCCTTCACTGGGCTTGCTCCAATATGTCCATGTCTCTCTCATACTGGGAAGCACAGAAATGGACACAGCAGTCCAGGTATGGTCTCACCAGTCCTGAATAGAGGGGAAGGGTCACTTTCCTCATCCTGCTGGCAGCGCTCCACTTTATGAAGTTGGCCTTCATTGCCACAAGGATACATTGCTAGCTCATGTTAAACTTGATGTCCACCAGAATCACCAGGTACTTCTCTGCAAAGCCACTTTCTAGCTGGTCAGTGCCCAGCCTGTATCGGTGCCTGGGGTTATTTGTCATTGGATGCAGGACTTTGCACTTCCCTCTGTTGGACTTCATGAGGTACCTGTTAGCCCATTTTTCCAGCCTGTCCAGGTCCCTTTGGATGGCATCATGACCCTCTGGTGTATCAGCCACTCCTCCCCATTCTGTATCATCAGCAAACCTACCGAAGGTACACTGTGTCCCACCATTTGGGTCATTAGTGAAGATGTTAAATGGTACTGGCCCCAGTATCGATCCCCGAGCACCAGTAGTGACTAGCCTACAGCTGCACTTTGTGCTGTTGAGCTAAACCTAAGTGCAGCAATTCAGCTACTTGTCCGTCCAGCTCGCTGTCCATTTATCTAGTCCATACTTCATTAGTTTGTCAGTGAGGAAGTTATGTGAGACAGTGTCAAAAACCTTACTAAGGTCAAGATAAACACCATCCACCATTCTCGCCTCATCCATCAAGCCAATCATCTCATCATAGAAGGCTATCAGGTTGGTTAGACCTGATTTCTCACTCATAAATCCTTGTTGACTTACTGCTTTTCATGTGGTTGGGAAATGTTTTCAGGATTATTTGCTGCATCATCTTTCCAAGGATCAATGTGAAGCTATCATCTGGTATCTACTTTCCTTGATCCTTCTTCTTGCCTGTGCACAACCTTTCCTTTCCCTCCCACTCTCTCCCTGATCCAAAATAGCAATTTCAAGCTTACCACTATCAAATGCCAGGTAGCTGCAGCCTCCCAGAACTCGTGGGATTTGAGTGGCCAGTACAACATATGATGGGCCTGTGCCTGTTGATTGCCTCCTCTCATCTAAAATACAGTACCTAGAAACAGGACAAAGAGGATAAAAAGTCCATTCTGTCAGTTGGGCAGAGAGTCTCCCAAAGCCCTCCCCTGCCTTTCCAGGGCTCAGGCAGAGCTTTTGGAAAGACCAACAGCTCAAGGTGTGGCTGTGCTGCAGTGGTGGAAAGGGAAGAGAGAAACTCAGCTCAGCCCAGCCCTGCTCTGGCAAGACCAAGAGTCAAGATAGTGCTGGCTACTTCAAGACTCATGCCTATGTATCTCCCCTACACCATCTCCAAGCAATGACTCAGTCACATGCCTCAGCAAGTTCTTTCATGACAAATTTCCCTCCCTGATGAATACTGAATTTTTATTTTAAACTGAATTTGTTTTGTGGTATGTATTGGTCTCTGCCCAATCATATTCTTTCTGGCAATCATGGGAATAACATTAGCAATATCTGCCACAACATACAGATAAATCAGACAACAAAAGCCACAACACAGACCAGTCCAGGACTTGCGGGGAAACAGGCCAAAACCCAGCATAGCTTTCCTAGAAGTAGGGCCAGAAATGTTCAAGACTGTCTCTACAAAAGCACAAATCCACCCAGAACAAAGCACTTCAGGAGACAACATGCATGTTAGATGAGATGGTGAAGAAGGGATATGAACAGGAAATATAGGAGAGTGAGAAAGCAGGTAAGAGGGATCATATCGAGGGAGGATGTGTCTGGCTGGGGGAGGATGTAATTAATGTATTCAAGGCTTGAGACCAAACTCATACAGTGCTACTGTCAAGGACTTCAGCCCTCACTGGTGTCCAGAGGGGCTTAAGTCTCCTGAAGGTCCTGTGTCCTATTAGCCAGCCCTGAGAGGTGTCTTGGATCCCTACAATGTCTCAAATAGCACCAGATGTCATTTTAAGTCCTTTGTTTTGATGACTAAAGGGAAATAAGTCTTTTGGTGCTTGGCGCTGTTTGGAGTAGCTTGTGCTGTGAGTCAACCATGCTGGGGTAGGTAGTTCTAATGTGGGAAAGATATATAAAGCATGCTCCTAGAATGAAGAAGATGCTCTTTTAGACAAACAAAAGCTGAGATGTTACGGATATTTTATCTTAATATCTTAACAAACACAGGTTTGGAAGTTTAAGCTACAGAACATAAGCATGAGGGCACACACAGAGATATACACATGAAGATATATGAGAACATCTGCAATGACTCCACTGAAAAGGTCTCTAAACCCAGTGCTATATCCCATGGCTATTTGGCTGCTGCATCTTCTCTTACCTTTGCACCTGACTAAAGAAATACAGAAAGAAAGAAGAAAGAAGAAAGGATGTTCACCTGGCACAAGTGAGAAGCCTTTTGCTGCTCTGTGGCTCATCAAAGTGAAACTGGATGAGGAGCAGTTTTTCTTCTGATGATTGTGCAAAAAAATTCCTGCAGACAATGAAATGGGTCTGTTATTGCTCTATTCATAAAACCACCTCTGTTCTCCCCTCTCCCTGCTCCCCCTTGCCCTCTTTCCCCAAAACACCAGTCTGTAAAATTAACAAACAAAGGTGAGAAGGAAATCTCTCCTCACCTGAGTTCCTGGCGGAAAGTGTATTCGGTGTCAAACTGGCTTAGGAAGAGACAGTGGATTTTATTTTGAAGTTTAAGTTTCTTCCTTATCTCTTCTAAATCTCTGTCATTTAGAAGTCTTGCGTGTGTAGAAACCTGCAGTGAAAGGGAAATAAATTCCAGGGAAATATTGTGCAGTTGTTGTATTACCAACCCTAGCAGGTGGCAAAACTGAAGTGATCCCCTGATGGACCTTTTCAAGTACTTCCTAAAGTCAAGACTCAGAAATGTGCCCTGCTTACAGGGAAAAAGTGTAGAAGCATCGTTAACCAGAAAAACCCTGATTCCTCGTGCTGCAAGAGAATTAGACTTGAACTGCATCTTTAGGAATGACTCAGAGTATCTGAGGCAGTGCCTCCAAAGGAATCCTGCTGGAAGATGTGCATGAGCACTTCAAACCCTGAGGGCTGGAAAGCCTTTCTGTGCAACATTATGGGCCTAGCACGATGGTCCCCAAATGTGACTCTACTGGGCTGACTCTCTCCCAAAGCTGTAGGCTCCCAATACTGTAGGTTCTGTTTGGGGTTTCAGCTGCTATCCTGTTAGATGTCTGTGCAACACAGGTTCCTGAGCTCCTGTGATGGTCACTGGAGAACTGATCAGGATGCTTTCTTTGGCATGGACAATAACTCCTGAAAAGAGATGTCAGGGGGCAGTGGGCATGAACCAGGACCTGCAGAATTATATGAACCACCTAAAGTCCTGCTGGAGGCTTGGTGAGATCCCCACAGCATCACCAATGGTGCTTCACTTGTCTGCACGCAATGCATGATGCCCTGGGTATCTTAGCCTTGAACATCCAGAGCCTTCAGAGTTAGGAGCTGGCACCCACTGCTGGTCTGTTAGCAGATCCACCACATCTGGGTCAAGATGAGAAGCAGAGCCCACCCTGACTGCAGAGGATCACAAGGCAGAAGTCAGGCACATGTGTGATACAACCGATGGGTCAGAAGCCAAACAAGCCCATCACTGTTCAACAGTGGAACTTATCCAGTGCCTTAATGGAGGTTGTGTGACAATCTCCCCCATCTGGAAAACAAAGACCACTCTCACTGCTTTATAGTGAAGCACACGTACCTGCAGGCAGAACCCAGTGGTCTTCTCCTTCCTTGGCTGCTGGTTAACTGTCTCTTCCAAAACACTAACAAGGCTGTTGTGCTTCTGCTTGTGGAAGTACAAGTCTTGGATTTGCTCAGCCTCATGCAAAAAGGAGTATCTAAGGCGCAGGATGGAGTCGGGGGTTGCACACTGAATAAGTTTCCTTTTGGCAATGGAGAGCACTGGCTCTTCATAGGGCTCAAGGTCTCCCCAGCACCTGCTCTGAGTGCTCTCCAAAGCAACAACTGCACACGTGTCATTGCTGAAACCGATGAAGACGTCCTCTTCCTTGGGGCTGAGCTTGGTGGACCAAAGACTGGAGAACTTGCTGCTGTCAATAGAGACAAACAACCCGGCCCAGGTCTGCAGGTCCTGCTTCAGCTGTTGCTGCTGCCAGTTCAGAATGGTGTTCATGTCCAAGCAGTGCTTCTCGAGCCGGTTTAGCAGAGGGGTAGGGAACTGGTTGTAGACTATGTTCTTCTCCTCTATCACAATGAGTCTGAACTCATCTTTCACACGGCTCTTTACCCTGTGAGTGCCAAGACCCAAGTCCACATAGGAATTTCCCCCCAGGTGAACAAAACACTGGTTGAGTGCATCATAAATGCTCTCATAAAGGTTGTGTATATTTAAAAGAACAACAGGTCTGCCTGTCTCCATGCAGATCTTCACTCTGCTGACAGACCGGCATACTTGGGAATAATCTTGGTCCTGTGGAAAACCAGAGCCAAATATGATTTCACAGTTCTCAGTATCTATAAGCTGTGTCATCTGGATGATGTGAAAAGCTGCGTTGTTGACTGTCAGCAGCAGGAGGTACCGAGACACTAAGCCTGCCTGCTGTTTGCCCATATTTTCCTTCAGCAAATGAAGTGTGTGGCTGGTTTCCAAGTCAGGAGGAAGATACACCTCACTGATGCGGTTTC